CTCAATCACTTTGGTGCATCATTACTATGGCAGTATTATAGCACTATCAAAGTACTGTTCTACTTTCAAAGTACTGCAGTACTTTCCAGGTGTCTCAGTGCTCAATCGCCTGTTTCGGCCTGTTCGGGGATGTTCGGGAAGGTCACTTCGGTGCATCAGTACGGTGAAAGTATTACCCCTACGTCCAACTTTCAAAGCACTGTGATACTTCCAAAGTACTGATGCACCAAAGTGACCTTCCCGAACATCCCCGAACAGGCCGAAACAGGCGATTAAGCACTGAGACACCTGGAAAGTACTGCAGTACTTTGAAAGTAGGACAGCGCTTTGAAAGTACTGTAATACTTCCAAAATACTGATGCACCAAAGTGACCTTCCCGAACATCTCCGAACAGGCCGAAACAGGCGATTGAGCACTGAGACAACTGGAAAGTACTGCAGTACTTTAAAAGTAGGACAGTGCTTTGAAAGTACTGTAATACTTTCAAAGTACTGATGCACCAAAGCGACCTTCAGGAACATCCCCGAACAGGCCGAAACAGGCGATTGAGCACTGAGACACCTGGAAGGTACTGCAGTACTTCAAAAGTAGGACAGTGCTTTGAAAGTACTGTAATACTTCCAAAGTACTGATGCACCAAAGCGACCTTCAGGAACATCCCCGAACAGGCCGAAACAGGCGATTAAGCACTGAGACACCTGGAAAGTACTGCAGTACTTTGAAAGTAGGACAGCGCTTTGAAAGTACTGTAATACTTCCAAAATACTGATGCACCAAAGTGACCTTCCCGAACATCCCCGAGCAGGACGAAACAGGCGATTGAGCACTGAGACACCTGGAAAGTACTGCAGTACTTTGAAAGTAGGACAGTACTTTGAAAGTACTGTAATACTTCCAAAATACTGATGCACCAAAGTGACCTTCCCGAACATCTCCGAACAGGCCGAAACAGGCGATTGAGCACTGAGACACCTGGAAAGTACTGCAGTACTTTAAAAGTAGGACAGTGCTTTGAAAGTACTGTAATACTTCCAAAATACTGATGCACCAAAGTGACCTTCCCGAACATCTCCGAACAGGCCGAAACAGGCGATTGAGCACTGAGACACCTGGAAAGTACTGCAGTACTTTAAAAGTAGGACAGTGCTTTGAAAGTACTGTAATACTTCCAAAATACTGATGCACCAAAGTGACCTTCCCGAACATCTCCGAACAGGCCGAAACAGGCGATTGAGCACTGAGACACCTGGAAAGTACTGCAGTACTTTAAAAGTAGGACAGTGCTTTGAAAGTACTGTAATACTTCCAAAATACTGATGCACCAAAGTGACCTTCCCGAACATCTCCGAACAGGCCGAAACAGGCGATTGAGCACTGAGACAACTGGAAAGTACTGCAGTACTTTAAAAGTAGGACAGTGCTTTGAAAGTACTGTAATACTTCCAAAATACTGATGCACCAAAGTGACCTTCCCGAACATCTCCGAACAGGCCGAAACAGGCGATTGAGCACTGAGACACCTGGAAGGTACTGCAGTACTTTAAAAGTAGGACAGCGCTTTGAAAGTACTGTGATACTTCCAAAGTACTGATGCACCAAAGTGACCTTCCCGAACATCTCCGAACAGGTCGAAACAGGCGATTGAGCACTGAGACACCTGGAAAGTACTGCAGTACTTTAAAAGTAGGACAGTGCTTTGAAAGTACTGTAATACTTCCAAAATACTGATGCACCAAAGTGACCTTCCCGTACATCTCCGAACAGGCCAAAACAGGCGATTGAGCACTGAGACACCTGGAAAGTACTGCAGTACTTTAAAAGTAGGACAGTGCTTTGAAAGTACTGTAATACTTCCAAAATACTGATGCACCAAAGTGACCTTCCCGAACATCTCCGAACAGGCCGAAACAGGCGATTGAGCACTGAGACAACTGGAAAGTACTGCAGTACTTTAAAAGTAGGACAGTGCTTTGAAAGTACTGTAATACTTCCAAAGTACTGATTCACCAAAGTGACCTTCCCGAACATCCTCGAACAGGCCGAAACAGGCGAATAAGCACTGAGACACCTGGAAAGTACTGCAGTACTTTGAAAGTACTGTAACACTTCCTAGGTACTGATGCACCAAAGTGACCTTCCCGAACATCCCCGAACAGGCCGAAACAGGCGATTGAGCACTGAGACATCTGGAAAGTACTGCAGTACTTTAAAAGTAGGACAGTACTTTGAAAGTACTGTAATACTTCCAAAATACTGATGCACCAAAGTCACCTTCCCGAACATCTCCGAACAGGCCGAAACAGGCGATTGAGCACTGAGACACCTGGAAAGTACTGCAGTACTTTGAAAGTAGGACAGTACTTTGAAAGTACTGTAACACTTCCTAGGTACTGATGCACCAAAGTGACCTTCCCGAACATCCCCGAACAGGCCGAAACAGGCGATTGAGCACTGAGACACCTGGGAAGTACTGCAGTACTTTAAAATTAGGACAGTGCTTTGAAAGTACTGTAATACTTCCAAAGTACTGATGCACCAAAGTGACCTTCCCGAACATCTCCGAACAGGCCGAAACAGGCGGAAACTGGAAAGTACTGCAGTACTTTAAAAGTAGGACAGTGCTTTGAAAGTGCTTACTGTAATACTTCCAAAGTACTGATGCACCAAAGTGACCTTCCCGAACACCCCCGAATAGGCCGAAACAGGCGATTGAGCACTGAGACACCTGGAAAGTACTGCAGTACTTTAAAAGTAGGACAGTGCTTTGAAAGTACTGTAATACTTCCAAAGTACTGATGCAACAAAGTGACCTTCCCGAACATCCCCGAACAGGCCGAAACAGGCGATTGAGCACTGAGACACCTGGAAAGTACTGCAGTACTTTAAAAGTAGAACAGTGCTTTGAAAATACTGTAATACTTCCAAAGTACTGATGCACCAAACTAACCTTCCCGAACATCCCCGAACAAGCCGAAACGGGCGATTAAGCACTAAGACACCTGGAAAGTACTGCAGTACTTTGAAAGTAGGACAGTACTTTGAAAGTACTGTAATACTTCCAAAGTAGTGATGCACCAATGTGACCTTGCCGAACATCCCCGAACAGGCCGAAACATGCGATTGAGCACTGAGACACCTGGAAAGTACTGCAGTACTTTAAATGTAATGTAAAGCAGTACTTTGAAATGGTTTGTAATTTTTTTAAAGTACTGGTGTACGAGAGTTACCTTACCGAATAAACCGATACAGAAAAAACCGATACAGACGATGCAATTAAAGATTGTTCAGTCTTATGAATTTAATAACAGTGACAATACTTCTTATTGCACCATGGTGCTATATAGTGCAATAAACATGCAACGACGACGACGACATTAGTAACGCAGTACATCATGGCAAGTTGGAAATTTCCGCAATAATTCCGCTGTTGCTCTTTCGTAGCTCGGCATATCTCCAGGCTGACATTTCCATGCCACGCCGCAACGGAATTAATGAGGTTGCATAATAGGCAATGATTTATTATTTTTGTTGTTTAGAGTGCCCGGTTGTCCCGAACGCCTGTCATGCGTTCCAGAGCAGTCTGACGTGAATGCAATCTCTAATTATTGTGGAGCCGCGCGGAAGCCTCAGCGGTGACAGTTTCTTTCTCATCACAACCTTTCGGATTCCTTAACATATCGTATGGAATATAGGAACCCATAGTTGGGAGGCTAGAAGTAAAAGAGAGAACAAAACAGACGAAAACGCGTGTCTGTTACCGTGCCAACCGCTCTTTCCTGTTTGCGACAATGATGACGTTGGCGACCGCTGCGCAGATCGTTCCCAGTCTTTGCAGCTATAGTTAGCTTTTGACATCACACATATAAAGCCCTGGATTGGTAGCCGGTACATCAGAATTGCTTTAGTGCTATTATTCGCCAACGATAAAACATGGTAACACTTACAACCGAATTGAATACCTGTACCGGATCATTTCCCTTAATTTGCCGGGAATCGTCATAACTGCCAACTATCCAGCGAATTTATTGAAATTAAATGGTAGAACTCACAGTGCCGTAAAAATAATGAAAAATAGAATCGATTCTTTTTGTTACACTGTTTATTTATAACGGTGTTCGGCTATTTGTAACCCCGACTGGACTGTAGTACCGTACTTTGCTGGCAAGATGCCTGCAAGATGTTATGTGCCAATTTATATCGTTGAAGTCGGGCATTTATAGATAAATAAAACTTATAAAAAGCACTATATAGGATGCTATACCTGGGTCACCCAGAGAATCGTTTGGTTGCCGTCTAAATAGAATTATTACTTTCTAATTTTACAGCCCCGCACTGGGTTCAGTTATTCGCAGTTTGCTTGCAGTAGCCTTTCACGCCGATATCGCTAACGCAGTCACACTCTATCTTTGGTGAAGTGGAAGTTGTAAGATGTGCAGTCGCTTACATAAGCGTGCCTGCCGGGAAGTCACCCTTATCGCGGCAAAGAAGAGATGTACGTTGCCGCTAATGCAAACGCTACTCGTATACATCAATTACTTCGATTACATTAACAATAGACAATAACGCCTTCCGTACTCTGCTTTTTTTATATCGAATGATTCGAATCCATAATGCATTGCGAATTTGCGGTCATCCAGCCTCATGCCTTATAGGCATGTTTGCGGTATTCGAATACGAAGTCGATGTCATAAAGTCTGTTCGTTGGTATAAGGTAATTTGAAGATAGTTAACGTTTCCTATTTGATTAGAGTACAAGAAGATGAACGCAAAATCTATGATTATTGCCGAACGTTTCTAAACAAAATCAGTACTTTAGACTTTTAAGAAAAGCTAACTGATCGTTCAGAATAGCAATCTCGAAAAGGCCGTCACACCGATAATGCTACTACACCGAGGAGTTGTGCTGTTACAATACGCATGGCAATTCATCTGTAAGCCGGGCATGCCTCATCTATTGAAAATAATTGACGATGTGTACGAGTTTCAAATGTTTCGCCACTTAATGATTCTTTTCAGACTGTCCCGCAGATTTTCGAATCCAGTAATGAAGAAAACAGGGTCGAGTAGCGACTTGATAAGATACGTGATGGACGTGATTTGGAACCACATGGCTGATGGTCGGAATTGTATCCACAATCCACGGCTGGGCCGACACAAGCGACAGAAACGGCGCGTAGAATACCGATGTGCTAACAGTCATCATGGACAGCATGAAGATGGCTTTGCATGATTCGTTCCGCTCTCTCATGAGGCGCGCCGCAGATGACCCCTCACTCGTTTCCACTGGTCCACTATTATCAGTCCTTACAACGGCGTTAACGTCCATGCGCTTCGGCATGCTCGTCTTGGCACGCTTGCGCATCCGCCGCCACAATTTCCAAAAAAGCAGCGGATACGCTACCAGTAGGACGACGACAGTCAGATCGATCATGATTAGCTCGAACACGACGGTAGTCACCGGTTGGACATGCTGGAACAGCGTGCAGTGGTACGGCGCCGGTGTACGGTACCAGACGGCATCCAGGATGAAAATCGGCAGGCCCACCAGGTGTGTAGTCACCCATACAGTGCTGCACGTGGCCACGGCGATACGGTAACTATGGATGGTCCGGTAGGAGAAGGGATGGAAGACCGCCCAGATGCGAATAACGGTCACCAGCGTCTGCGACCATAATTGGCAGGAGCTTAACGGGAGTATCATGTAATGATACACGGCACACGCGTGCCAGCCCGGGTACCAGTTAGGCAGTGCGGTGAAGATGATGGCCAAAGACATACTGAAGGCGGCGAAGAGGAGATTGACGCCCAACAGATTCATTACGTAGACAGAGAAAGCTGTGCGCAGTTCACGGTTGAGTACCTACATTATCAGGACTGAGCCATTGGCTATGATGGCCAAGATGCAGATGCAGGGTTTGACAATCGCTGACCAGTTCAAGACCGTATTGGGCAGGTCGGTCGCATACCAAGAATTATCATGGCCGGGGGCTGAAAATGTGGAGTTATTCTGCATGTCTTCGTAATGTTACAAACCTGCTGCCGTGTATGCGTGATGGAGCACTTTAGACTGAAATGAATTGGGTTTAGTACATAGTATTACATTCCGTCAAAAACATGCTTATGGAAATCCAAACGCACTTCCGAGAAACGATTCACCCAGTGTTCAGAAAACAGAGATATTAAAAATACAAGGAATGTATACTGTTCGAGGAATCTGCCGTCAACGGCAGTGCTCGACTTCTGCCAGTTTAATTATGTAGACCCCGGCGGCTGTGGATGCTTTCTCCTGGTTGGAGGACCTGCAACCAGGAAAAAGCATCCAATGGAGGTTGGATATCTGCACATTGGTCTGCTTCCTGTATTCATACAGACGGTGAGCGTCAAAGATTATACAGTACCCTCACATGTTATTATTACTGTAGCCGCCCGCACAAGTTGCCCCACAGAGTGAGGTATACGGATGTTTGGCCTCACATTGCTCGCTGTTCAGCGCAGTGTGTGCAGGGAGAAAGCAGCGGCCGGATCTGCCAATGGAGCAACTTGTGCGGGCGGCTACAGTATTTGATTTAGTTACCATGAGGTTAAAACCCAACCGTTGCGCAGCCGCACATCTTTGCTTTGTAATCAACGGAAATAGGTCTAGGTCGCAGTATGCAGATCTGCTGCTCAGCTCGTCATTAATTCATAAAACCGTTTGTTGATCGCAGTCTCTACGTCTTTGAATAAGCAATACTCGTATGCAAGAGCTCTTCCGGCTCTACACCCTACGAGGGCAATAAAATGATAACTGCAAGTATCATTTCGCAAGCAACACATTTGTGTCTATGGTCAGCTGCTCAAGCAATTGGTCGAAATCATTTTAAAAATTGTTTCCTGCGATACAGTTAAACTAAAATGATTGTATTATTCTTTAAAAATTAGAAAAACCATTAGACGTGCTAGAATCTTCCAGAACACTCTGATGAGCTGCGGACACAGTACTAAAACATCCACAGAAAAACTGAACGTGCCGTAGATCATATCCTCGATATCTATCACCAAAAAACTTGCAGACGCTTGCATCAAAGTCTTAAAACTGAACGGTGTTATGCAATTTGTCTCAGCAAGTTATCAGTGGCGCCCACCTTGACAAAAATTGTGCTACGATGTTTCCTTTGCCTTTTGTTGTTTAAACGTAATGAATGTCCTGACGGCTAGTCATAACTATCTAGTCATAGAGATTACCGATAGTCATAACCAGCAAGACATTACAGAACACAGAACTTGCTTGATCACGGTGTGCGCTGTACTGTTTGTGAGTACGGCAATCACTGTCGTGCTTCAGCGCCCCTTATTTACGTATTTTCTGTGACTATTAAAGACATATGAAAACAATTTAGAGAGGTCATATTTACCGACACAATATCGTTTGTTAAAAGCACAACACATGGAGAAAATCCGTAAAATTATGTTTCAGGAAGTAGACGTGCGCGAACGGCACCATATCGACAGCATCTTTTCAAATCAAAATACCATAAATTTTATGTAAGCCCTCTGTAAACTCTGTTACAGTGGATTAACGAATTTGCGGCACCCACCGTTCACCCCCTCCCCCCGTAATGAACTCCCTGCACCATTCAAGCTGAAAAACAAGGGCACCTCCGAAAATGCCCCACAGGGTATGGTAAATAAATGTCCAGCGCAGTAAACCTAATACCGTCGTTAGACCGTAAATTGCTTTATGATTTAATCTTAATTTAAATCACTTTCAATTTAATCATACAGCGGATTAGTGACCGCAGACCTCTAACACACATTTACCATGGCTGCATGTTTGAGTACAATCCATGATGATTGATAAAGAAGAGAAAATAAGTCAGTTATTAACGTGACCATTGTCCCATGCAGACTAAACTGAACAATAACTCGCAGAGACACGGTAAAACATGTACCGATATCTTTCCGAGTCCAGGTGGACTGTCCTCTAGTCAGTGCTTTTTCCTGTCTTTACCGGATGCGTTATTCATAAAATTTTGTTAAAGTTCTAAATATCATGGCGTAAATTAAGATCTTTATTTGCATTTCGCTGCAGGTTTTCCTTGCATTTAATTTTATGAATTTCGCTTGAAAACGAATTGCGCTTGAATTTTAAGAATTTCTGTTTGAAAACTGATACCGTAACTTTTATGCAGAAAGTTTGACTGGCTGTTCCGCGGGCTTTTTCTTTAGTGGGTGATTGAATATTGTGTAATAATAATGGATGGTTTATTCACCACGGTAAATAACATTGTCATTAAACAAATCAAATAAAATTTGATTCAGTTCGCGCGAGCGGCAGGAAAGCACAATTGTCTAAATCAGTTTTGAGTTGCCTTTCCGAATCCACTTTCAAGCGTCGCAATAAATAAAAAGGCTGAAGCCTTCATGCATTCTTAATTAGATCTAGGTACTGGTATATGCCTATGCACTTTTATTAACACTTTCATGCCCATGAACCTTACCAATAATTATTATGAGCGCAATTCAGCTTTTTGAGTATGATTACTATTAGCCGAGCACTGCCACACAGCCAACTGCAGATTAGGTAAAACTAATCGAATAAACTACAATTGTATTTTGTCCGTGCCTTCATGCAGGGGCCGCTCACAAAATACCATTATTGTTTAGTGAAACGATTGTTTAGTGTGTGTTGCGTTGTTGCTTGTCATGCATCCCGCATATTTGCATTGTAATCGTCCTTTCCCCATATATTTATTATAATCCCTATACTAGTATACCCTATAATTCCTTCTTTAAAATTACCGAAAAAATTCAGGTGCAAAGTAGTGGAGAGCAAGCGGTCTTTTACCTTATTGATGCTTCCGTTGCGCGAGTTTTGTTTACAAAACTTTTAAAAATAGGTTATGCGTGCCTTTTCCCCTAATTTTTAATAGGGGTTTTTTGCCGCATAACAAGCAAACGGAAGTCAGTAAAGGTTGATATATTATACTTAACTTTATTCGTACCGCATGTTGCAAAATACACACAATACCGCACACGCAAAATACAGTACATGAACAGTGAACACATAGTGCATACAATGAATTCAATCACACTGTTTGCTGCCACGCGTTCCAAGTCCACTGGGCGAAGTCTGCTAATTTTAAGTTGAGATTTAACTCCTACAGTATCTGTACGAGTACGACTGTAAGTTGGACTAACAGACAGAGAACGATGCATGCACGATCGCTTCACGTGCACAGTATGTGACAGAACTTCTTATTGGTGGGAGCATATGTGATGCTGAGAATCGGCAGCAGTTAATATTATGTGATGCTGAGAATCGGCTGTTACCCTGGTATTTCTATTAAATGTGACGACAGACTAGTAAAACCACTCGTCTCAGTTGTGCTTATGGCATAGCTTTGTACAACATATATATACCTACACACTGAACGCGGTATACCTCAAAACGAATTTCTTAATCTGTCATTCATTTCTGGTCTGCGACTTTTTTAAATTTCAAACTACGCATGTAAATATCCTTTACATGAATAATTCATAACTTTTATTTTATTCCACACGGCATGGTTACTCGCAGTTTCTCCAAGGAGTACGAGGCTGAGGCAAGTTGGCTGGACAGACAGCAGCAGCGATTCCTAGTACGAATAACCGTGACTGTGCAACGTTGCTAGCCACCAGTGGGTGGCAGCATGCACGAACCTGTATTAAAAATTGAACACGAAACGATGTATCACTTTGTATCTTCCGGTTTTATTTTCTTAATCTGCGTTCTGTCCATTGTAATACTAACAGCTTTTAATCGCTAATTTGTGAATTTTGAATTATCTATATAATAAATCGTCTTCTGTAGCCACTCAGACTGTATATTTAAAGGAAGTCGTTTGTTGTACTGTTAAGTGTTAAGTATGCACCCACTACGCCGCATAGAAAATTCGGAATTTTTTATGCTAGCACTGAACTGCCGAACTGTGGTGGTTGACCGATCTTGCGCATTACCAGTCACAACTATTCGTGTTATCAACCGCAGCTGCCGTCAACTTGCCTCCTTTTCGATTTGTCTTATCAAGATTTTACTTTTTTTTTAAACGTGGTAATTTTAAAGATAAGTGTGCCTTTACAGGGCGAACTGTATTATTGACTAATCACGTAATTTAGGCGCTAAAAGCTTAGTGGCACATGTGCACTGTTTAGTGACTGGTGAGCTATCATGCTGCTCACCGTTAAAAATTAAAAACATTTAAGAATCGAACGATTTTAGCGAAACAACTGAAAAAATTAATATTTTTCGTTAAATTTCTTACAGTTTCTGAGCTAAAGCCTTTATTATACCGTACTATTTAATTTATTACAGTAAAAAATGAGCCACGTAATTTATTCTAATGAAATTTAATATCTTTGCGCGAAATATAAGTGTGGAGCTCGCCGTATTCAATAATACACACATATTTTCCTGAGTACATGAAATTACGAATACATCGAGTCAGTAATCAGTTATAATAACAGCTTATATTATATTACTGTGTTATATTTATTATAACTTAATAACACATATAAATGATTACAGTCAGTAATCAGTTATAATAACAGCGCATATTATATTACTGTGTTATATTTATTATAACTTAATAACACATATAAATGATTACAGTCAGTAATCAGTTATAATAACAGCGCATATTATATTACTGTGTTATATTTATTATAACTTAATAACACATAATGTTACTAAAATCTTCGTAAATTGTAAATATAGTGTTACTGAATATTATGATGTTATCATGTCCTTAATTCCTGCCCTCAAGGTGACGAATTTTACTACCTAAAAGCTCCCTGGTTTAGCGAGAAAGTTGGCACCTCGCATAATTTTTGACCGGGCAACTTGCTGTACACAGTGCACACTACACACAAGCGGTACGATGCGTATCAAAGCGGAAAAGTGACACTCGATGCAAGCCATTTTACACTTGAACCGGTTTGGCGAGTACAACAGTTACACAACCGATTCCAAGAACAGAGAGAGTACCGCGAACGTACTCGTACTAGTATTTAACCAGACATAATACAAGACAATCCTAGACAAGCCAAGAAACAGACATAAAACACACAGACAAGCGGTTATATATATATAATTATATATATATATATTTATATATATATATATATATGTTTATATATATATTTATATATATATATTTATACATGTATACATTTATATATATATATATATATATATTTTTTATATATATATATTTATACATATGTATACATTTATATATATATATATATATATTTATATATATATATATATATATATATACATATATATATATATATATATATATATATATATATATATATATATATATATATATATATATATATATATATATATATATATATATATATATATATATATATATATATATATAACTCGCTTGTGTTTTAGTTTCTCACGATTTACGTAAACAGTGCGAAAAATTTTGTTGCTACTGACGCGAATAAAAAGACAGTACTATTAAAAAAATATATATATATATATATAAAATTTCATTTTAATGGTTGGTTTCCTCTGTGTTCAACAACAATGGTTACACACTACGGTTATAAAACGAGGTTTGATGGACCGTCGGTGTTGTTACGAGTAACCGAATTACCCAAAAGTCAGTTATGCAACAGCGAACTGTAAACCGATACCGGCGCGATTGTCAAAGTGCACAAACATTTTTAATCACCTGAAAAGTCACTGGGGATGAGCAAGGGCAAGGGCAAGAACAAAAATAACTTCGGAATATTCAGACAATCTTAGAAGTCTAGAAAATCCACGTTAGAACTGGTCATTCGTACAGGTACACATTCACGTGTTTCCGGTTGAACTAGCACCTGTGAGATGTACTTCTTCACTACAGATCTCATTTGCACGGCTACAAACTACTATAATTATCATATCGCCAGCAAAGGCTGACAGATGGTATCAAACGGGCGAATAAAAGTTGCTGCGTGTTTTTGATCTGTGGGTTTGCACCGGAATTGCCGGGCATTCGTGCGCGATCGAAGGATACCGTACTGTCTGTAGTTGCTAATGGTTTGGTCCAGGTGAGGTACTGTATATTTGGACGTGAAAATCGTAATTAACGATTGCGATTCAAATGACGGGTGTGGTATTTTGCTGTACTAGCTGCCACAATTAAGTTAACCGGCAACGTCACTGTAGTGTACCTCGGGGCTTCTGAGCAGATGGGGAGTTTCCAGACAGGGCCAGGCGGGATAGCGCTTCTGGGATATGAAACTGCAGAATGGTATCGATAGCTACTGCTGTAAGGCCTCAGCCTGTCTTCCGTTAACAAGGAAGGCAGCCTACTTTATTAGCCCGAGGTTTGCATTAAACATGACTTTGGGATTAGGTTGAATCTGCAAATGGCCAACGGATTCCACACCCACTTCGCTTACCTACCGCAACCGGGGAGAGCTCACCCGTAGTCGCTCAGTCGAAAAACGGCACCCAGTCGATCCTCAGCTGCTGGAGCAGCCCGCGTGTCGAGCGTTTGTACCGGCAGAATTCGCTGGAGGACGGCTACACATCTGAAGAGTCCGATGGTAATGAGGTGCCCCCAATGATCTTTATCACGAGAAAACCTTCACGACGGGGTTTCGGGCAGAAAAGCGTCACCACCACCAGCAAGCCCATTATCAAAAACTATGAAAACAAGAACAGAGCGAGGAAGACAGTCCGCTTCGCAGATGATGTGGGGTTGGATCTAACCCGTACGTGTGAATTCGCTGAAATGGAGGATGACGGTTACTGCGGATCGGGTGCGGAGCCGCGCGTCGACCTGTTTGACTCGTCTGCCAAACCACAGAATGCGGATAATATGGTGGTGGAAATATCTGAATGGCAGGTTAATTTCAGCCAACCGGCAGCTGATTACATTGCCTTTCGGGAAAAACTGGATAGCAATGATGTAGCACTGGAGAATGTGATAATAAAGCAGAAGTCAGAGAGTTTTTTGGGGACCATCAAGGTGAAGAACGTGTTCTTTAAAAAGGATGTTATTGTACGCTGCACCTTTAACGTCTGGCAAACGTACTCCGATTTCCCTGCTAAGTACTGTAGCAGTAACACCGACCTCTACGATACGTTTAGCTTTGAGATTTCAATTCCGGAAGAGGCCAAGCAGCGTAATTTAATTGAATTCTGCGTGGCATTGCGGACAGATGGTAGGGAGTATTGGGATAGCAATCAAGGAAAAAATTATCAACTGATTGCGGGACATACAAAGCGCGAAGGCGCACTGAACAAGAGCACAGATGCATACAGAATCGAAACGCACAGCAAATGTTGGGGCGAATTCGCCAGTTGGAACCAGCTGGAAAACCATCAGCCGTATTGGTGATGTTTGCGACAGCTACTGGTCTGTTACAGCGGGTCCTCCATAACCGACATAATTATTCTGTAGCCAGGCGGTGCGCAGCCTAACCATCAGCATCTAACTCATTCTTGCATTTCCAATCACTTACTTACTTAAACGCTGTGCGCGTAATGCAATTATACAAGAACGGGTACCACTAGTCAGCGGTTGGCTGTTAAGCAACCGTGAATTGACACAGTTGTGTGAACCACATGCATATGCTACCGAATCACTAGTTACTAGTTCGCTCTTGGTACTTTGAGTGTACATTTTTGTTTGTCTGGTCTGGGAATCAAAGCTGTGTGTGAATCATTGAATTTCGAGCAATGGTTTGTTGCTGAAAAAACATAATAATATTAGTACTCCGTTTTTGCTACAACGCCTATGGCACGGTTAGTACACGTTAAATTTTGCCGGGCATGTGGTTTGCACTTTGCCTGGAATCCACAATATCCCACAGTATCTTCTACGTATCCTTCCTTCTTGTATCCTACAAAATCGTATAATTTTTTACTCATGCCGTATCCCACCGTATATCTGCAATATCCTTAATATGCGTCCCGAATGTATTCCACTAGAAACATTACCCGAATATTTCAAACATACTCGTCGAATACAGTAAGGATCTGTTAAGATACGTTAGTATACTGCAGCTACTGATACCTCTTAAAATTGTATAGTTATATTCAGCAGGATACATGAAACACCAATAAATTGGTTCCGGTCCCCCATGCCGGACACAAATAAATCGGTCCTGGCAATAATGTCCCCCATGCCGTTCACCTACCCATAGACACCTTTGAAGTGGCCACCTGCGTTAACTGAATGGGCGACATACCTTCGAATGGCCAGGCTTTAGTTATTTTTGCTCCAGAACCAATTTTCTTCCGGTTTTAGGTCAGTTTTAGAAATGTAGCATCGCAGCCCTGACACTGCACAAAAACTGCCTGGTGAAGCTTTGTAATAAGGTGTAATAAATTAGCCTCGATTGCGCTACTGATGTTGGTTACTGTAGCGTAGTGGTTTGGCACCAGCAGCTGGCGTGTCTGTGCAAGTGTAGTACGTACTATACCAGCCAACCTCTGTTGTCTTCGAAGCGCTTTTTCGATTGTGGATGCTATGATTTTGAATTTTTATCATGGAAAAGTCTGTTAACGTTTAACTGGGTTGCGTTACCAGTTGGCTAAAGAAAGTGTGCGGTTTTTTTGAAACAACTAACTGAGTAAAGCATTACGCGTCCATCTTTTTCAGTTGCAGTCTTTTTCTTTTTCAATGCAATTAAGATCCACAGTCACTAGACGAGAAGTATTTAGCTGTCTCGTAACAATTTACAGTTATTCTGTGTACGCGCTTACAGAAATTTGTTTAGTTCGCTGATGTTGTACCTTTTAGCTTAAATTTTAAGATTAATGCAACAAACACCATTTCGTAAGCATCCAAAAAAATTGAAATAGTTGAAGTATGCTTAAAAGTTATGCTGGATAAATTGCTTGCAGCTACGCAACTTATTTTATTTCGCTTTGACAAGCTTGTAAACGCGAACGCAAAACTAAATGCCATAAAAATCTCTAGAAGTTAAACTACTGGGCACTAGAAAGGGCACACAAATCGAATCCCCGTCTTCCGTACGCATTAAAATTACTCTTTCCTTATAAGTACAGCTGCTTGCACGCTTACTGCATATGCAGTAGAAAGCGGGTTTACGACTTTGCGATAACGAGAATGGTTTGAAAACGATGGCCGGATATGTGTTAACCGGTACACATCTGTAGATTACATAGGTATAATAAAATTCCAGACAAGAAACCATTGTCGACAAAAGTACCTTTTAAAGTACTCCCAGTATCTACTCTGTCCTAAAACAGAAAATTAATTCTCTCTGAGGGGACCGTGCCCTGGTCGAAAGGAGCCTGCAGTAAAACGGGGTGAGAAAATCAGGTGTACAGGCTAGCAAAACGGGGTGGAATACGGTGTCTGTACCGTTTCTTTAAATAAATCTTCTTCGATTCATGCTGCGCAGATCTGGTACGGAAGTCAATCAGGACATGTCTGACTGTAATGCAAACCGTTTAAAAGGGCATAATGGCACGTTCTGTGTATCCATGAATCCTTTGAGACATGTAACGTACAGATATGTTCTATATCCCGCTTGTCCCATTGCCCGATATCTGCCTGCAGTGACTACTTTATAAAACTCACCGCCGTTCACGTGATTAATCGAGCGATGGAAGTGGTAGCGTGGGTTGCTGACATTGTCCCGGGCTATGCACAAATCACTGGGCGATTTCAGAGAAAAATTCCCCTATGACCCAATACAATTTAGCAGCAAAACCCTAGTCGTGCAATTACATCAACTGATACTGACGTGGATAATTGTCTTATTCCAGCTCTCTGTATACCTGGTATAGTATACCCTCGCCTGACTGCCCTAGAAACAAAACCCATCGATCCATAAAATGACTGGTACCGTCAATAGCGGCACGAGGCCCTGCTCGCTGAAAGATTACATGTGGCGTGCTAATTTTTGATTAAAAGCGTCACACATCCAGTACACGCAGTGAGACATAACATGGATTCCTTTGCAGCAGCCTAAAGGGTAAATGCTGCTGGTGCAGTTGGATCATTAAGGAAATTAACCTTGAAAAAGCCCTTCACTTCAATTTTTCAGCTGTGGAGGCCGAGAATTGTCCCAACTAATTGTCCCAACTAGTTTGAAAACATAAATACAGCAGAATTTTGGGTCACAAAATTAATAAAACGCAAACAAAAATTCATAATAATACAAATAGTGAATTATATCCAGCATTTCTGTTAGGTATTCGGGTAATCCAATCATTCTGATCGTAGCGATAGGGTGGTTTTCAGGAAAATCATGGTCAAAGAAAAGCTAGCAAACTCATGCGCACAATGCTCTCGTGAGAAAACTGAGGTATCACAAAGAAAACACAAAAACAAACAGAAAAAACACAAAACAGATAAAAAACACAAAACAGCAATTAAAAATTACTACAAGCAAATTAATGCAAATATAAAGTCATCATAGCAGACAAAAAATGCAAGCAAAATAGAGTCTGAAGAACGAGTAACAGGTTTGCCAGATAATAAAAAAAAGAAATAAGATATATGCTCACCAATATATAAAAGCTTCTCTGTCATCGCTCTTTTCACAAATAAAATAAACTATTTCAACTCAAAATAATGTGTAGCTCAAAAAATATAATTTTCGGTTCCTTAAATCATTATAAAACAACAGTAAAACGTATACATGAATGAATATTAGAAAATAAACTTTAACTGAAAACCTTTGTTTAAATACGGTATGAATATAATAACAATCATTGCTTAACCATTCTATGATGCAATGCATTCTGTAATACATCTTCTGCTTAATTTACTACTTCGAAATGTTTTCCGTTGCCATGCGGTACTGACTTTTCTCTACGGCACGTATTTGATATGTCTGATCGATGCCAAAATGAAGATGATAGACATTGTGCATCGGTAATTCATTACCGCAGTAATAGCAGCTTGCTTCACCATAGTCTGTTTCTTCCGATTCGACTTTCGTTTGTGTAGAGCGGTCTTTTGCTCTTCTGTTGGGAAAATCAGACGAAAATTCCATGTTTACAATTTTGTTCAACTTTTCTAAAACCTCATCAATTTTTTTCGTCATTTCATCAGTTTCCGTGGAATGCTTCTTTGTTGCATTTGCAAAAGGCAGGGTTAAAGATACTGCTGGTGTTTCAATATTTTGTTCACGAGTCCTGTATTTCACAGGATACAATTCTTCAGCTACTTCTAAAATATCCTTCGGTGTTTTCTTGCCCATGATGCGTAACTGCATCGCTGTGTGCTTGTCCCGCATTCCTTTCAGAATAAAATATCCTTTTTCTGTCTGGTCCATATTTGCGTCAGCGTGTTTGCATAAGTCCAGGATGGAAAAGTAATACGTCCGAAAATCCTCATCGTTTCCTTGCTGCCTCGATATCAACATATCGATGGCTTGCTCTGGTGTGCCGACTTTTCCAAAGGTTTTGAGAAATTCTGTTTCTACTGCATTCCATTCGGCTGCAGCATTAACTGGACGGTTTTTGATCCATTTTCTTGCGGTACCAGCTAAGACTTCGGGAAATCTTCTTGCTTTTGTGGCGTCGTCCCACGCATACGACTCGGCACATCTAAGGTAAGATTCTAGCCAAGTTTCCGCGACCTCGTGTGGAGCGGCTGAGAACGGAGGGGGCAATTTAATCTTCGGTCCCTCTGCCATTCTTTGTAGTTCTTCCTGACCGTTGAAATCGTCGTCTTCCACTTTATTTTGAATTAAAGATAAATTTTCGTAGTCTAAATCCTCCTCTTTATCCTTCAAATTATTCTCTTCAAAATTTTCGGTGTCCGATTCTTCTTCACGAACGTCCTCTATGAACGCAGTCTCGTGTAAATTCTCTTTTTTTTTCGTCTCCTTCAATAAGGTCCTCGTTAGTTTTTTTGTTCCAGATTTTCTTCCAAATTTTCTTCAAGGCTTGTGTCAGGGGAGACTTCGGGGGTTTTTATTCTATCTGAAGCTCTTTTCACTTCTGGTATGCTTCTTTTTACTAAATTACTGTTGCCTCCAGGATTCCAATATTTACTATTAATCTGTTCTTCTGGTACTATTGGTGGTGGCAGGTTCCTTAGTCTGTTTGAAACGCGCTCGGCAACTGTACTATGTTTTAAAACACTACGCTGTTCTTGCGGTTTTTTAGGCGCAAGTTTAATTAATAATTAATAAAAAAAAATTTGCAATTTTTTCGATAAATATTATTGTACCGACCAGATTTATACCAATTTATTTAAATAATTATTTTGCTGCTGGCAAAATCAGTAATATTAAGGCATATCGGAATTCTCTCGTTTTATGCTTCGCTAGCTTGCATCGATCACGGTTACGCCCTTCTATACTAGTATCTTACAGACCACGGCCAAAGATCGCTCCAGCGAACCTGTATGATACGACTATGCGGTGAACTTGCACAGTGTTACTATTTGCGCATCAGTGAAACCCTATAGGCACTGATTGTTGGTGTCAGCAAATCGTGTACATAATGAGTAAACTGCTTTTTTGTTTTATCCAAGTAACACCAATCACAATAATTATCGTTTCATAGAATGAGTACTTTTAAATAAAAATGCTAATTTGTTCGGAATTTTTTTTAACTTATTTCAGTTCAGCAATTCGTTTTTTTTTGTTATTCCGTTCAGATAGATTTGTAGTCTTCTTTTCACTAAATTTTACATATTTAGTAATACCTTAAAACAAACTAAATTTTACAATAAGATCAAATGGAAACTATTAAAATAATTCAAATATTTCACACTTTACCACGGACTCAGTAAAAATCATCTTTACCACGGGCTCAAATCAAAATCATACGACTATCTGTATGCAGCTGCGCTATTACGGACCAGGTAACAACAACAGACAGATACCTGTGTCGTCTGCGACTATCTGTAATGAAAGTGACCTATGGTCAGTAGGACCACTTTACAATACCTGTGCCGCAAGTGGGCTTGTATTAAAAATTTCCTCGAGGACAAATCCAAAACTTATACAAAATTCATTTAATAATTGTGCACTTAATAAATTTCCCAGCAATCCAGTACAATAATCCAATATAAATCAATAACATATAACTTCAATCCATTCAAAGGTCACACTAACAGGTTCATCCTTCACGCCAATTTGTCACAACAATGGTGTGACGAGTTCTTTTACCTGTGTGTGACCTATTCTGTGTGTTGTGTGTATATGAGCCCTATGTAAAGGTCAACGATGACCAGTACCTATGTAGATTACAAATGAACCAAACAACCAGGTGTACACGACCTTTTAATAATCTTTGACCATTGCCCACTACAGTATACTATTAGAAGTGATCACTAGACAGAACGATACTCGACTGATACTGGACTGAATTGAATGTCTTTGGTGGGCTCTTTATATATGGATCGAAGCCGGTTGGGGTGTGATCGTGAATCATCCCTATGATGTCATTATGATGCAAGAATGAGTAATTATGACGCAGTTATAACTGCATTGTCCTTGGCGTTCGACCTTGACGGGCACGTGGTGGCCTCATGTATGTGAGTCATCGTGACAGCCCTGCTCGCTGAAAGATTACATGTGGCGTGCTAATTTTTGATTAAAAGCGTCACACATCCAGTACACGCAGTGAGACATAACATGGATTCCTTTGCAGCAGCCTAAAGGGTAAATGCTGCTGGTGCAGTTGGATCATTAAGGAAATTAACCTTGAAAAAGCCCTTCACTTCAATTTTTCAGCTGTGGAGGCCGAGAATTGTCCCAACTAATGCGCGCTACGCCAGCCAATCAATTGTTCGCTAAAGCTGCGTACGCGTACAAAAGATCAGCCTCCAGACGCTTCCAGGTTGTCAGCCATTAGTTTTGTTACAGCGGTTGGGCAATTAATTAAAGCGCAGTAGCTGTTCAACAAGACAGCCCCTTGCCGAGCTGTTCATCAGGCTATCACATCGGACCACGCTTACCTTCATTTTCTTCCCGTCAAACGACAGAATGACGGGGATGGCGAAACTGAGCCGGCTGAGCGTATAATGTAACAGTGATAGACAGCCGGAAATTGGTCGTGTTGTGCGATGCGCGAGTAAGCGCTGTCACAGAGACTTGCTGATTATTCCTTTATCTGCGCAGCATGTACGGCATGATCATCCAGTCAATGGCTGCCTGTCTGCAGCAGACCTATGGCGATCTGCTTTATCAAGAGATCATCGAATGTGCCGGTATCCCGGTCACCGTTTTTAATACGCATGAACTCTATCCAGATAAGTATGTGAAGGCACTGGTACAAACCGCCGCCCGGGTGCTGGAAGAGGACAAAGAGCCCGAGTATTATTTGGAGCTTTTCGGGAGGATGTTCGTCCTGGTATGTAATTTCGGCATTCTGCAATGTGACCTTATTATAGCAGGGATGTGCAGTCACCGGCAATAAGCGGTCAAACGTTTAAGCTGATCGAACAGCGAATTTATGGATACTGCGAAAGTCTCAGGGGTCATGTTGACATCATCACTGAATACCGAGCGACACTGTCATTTGGTATTCACTGATGACGTCAATGTCTTCAAACTGGGCCAAATAAGAGGCTGTGAACAGTAATTATTGGGCTTTCTGCAGTCCTTAAGGAAACAAATCGGCTACATCGCTTTACAATTATTTCAGTAGATCAGACTCAAATGTTGAATTACCTGAGTATGCTCTGCAAGCATAGCCTATTTCCGTCTTTCAGTACTCGCTCTCTACTCAGAAATAAATCCGCCTGACCTGTATGTGCCATATTTGCTGTAATGTTGTTATTCAACCGTATAAGCACAAATTTACTAAATAAAACTTTTGATCTAACGGTTTGCTATAAGCTACTTTACCAATAAAAGAGCAAAAACGATGCATCACACTAATGCAGCCTTGAAAAGCATACGACGGCTTCCATGCTTTGAATTCACAGAAAGAAGTGTCCTTTTTCTGACTGAGTTGTTATTACTACGGAAGATGTCTCCAGACAGAGGCCGCAAAACTTAGCTGCACAGTTATTGGGCCAGGTCAATTGCTCTGTGTAAGCCGCGTAAGACGCGTAAGCGGCAGTCGGGTAAAAAAACATGACGTCACGGCGCGTAAGCAGGTAAACGATTTGATTGGTAAACCAGAATTCTGGGATGGGTTTTCAGCTTACCCGTGCGTGTAACCGTTGCGCTTCGAAATCGAAGCGCAACCGTTACCCAAACTACGAGTAACTCGTACTCTCCTGCACAGATGAACAAAATTTTGTTTGTTTGAACCAAAAGTGCATCCAGCGACCCAGATGCACACTCGTAAACTCAGAATTAACTTTTTTGACGTATTACCACATTAAAGCATCAAAAATAAAACTTTCGGTTCCACTTCGGTTTTTCAGTTGTTCAATTTCTTTCTTGCCACGGAAGCGTACTCGACTTACGATTGGACGATAATTTTTTCGCTGAGTCATGGACAGATTTTTACGCGCTTCTCCGTTACCCGACGCGCAATGGTTACCCAAAAGCAATTGACCTGGCCCATTATTCGGCTAATCGGGCTAATCACAGTTCATAATGGTGAGGACGTCAATTTAGTCCAGAGTGTAGCGTACTATGCGTAATTTAACGATCGACCTGCACGTCCAACCGCAACACCAGGCGGACTGGGCATTTTCTCTATTTACTGTAAGCCGGTTTACGACCATTAGGAGACGTGCTAAAGCTGACTAATCGTGTTAAATGTGACTAATATGCAACACCTACCAAAACGTCTTCCTGCCAAGCATCCTGTTAACAGCAAAAGGTTTATTTATTTTTATTGCAGTACTGCCACACATATGGACATGACAGGGTAAATAATACGTTGATGGACACGTACAACTATATTTGCATAAATGTTCTAAACTTTTGATATATATCACATGGGAGATATGCAGATTCTTCGCTTGTGTGGCCGGCATTTTCGTGATTTAATTCGCGACTTGAATCATCTTCATCACTGCATGCGCTACAGCTATCCCCGCATGATTCATCCATCTTTTGTGGTTGTCGCTGAGGATTCGTCCGGCATGGTGCTGCAATATGAATCGGTGCGGCAAGGCTTCGCTCCTTATGTAACCGGCCAGGTAACAGCGAAATATAACTGCAATTCCATTTGCAGTTATAATCACCGAATAAATGATATAAAACTGTCGTTTAACTGTCATCATGAAAAATTCTAAAGAAATGATAAAACCGAAATGATCGAAATGATAAAGTCACTGAATAATACTTAAACCTGATCACTAATATCTATTCACTTGCTATCTGACATAAAAATGTCATACGGTGTTATAATAATTTAATCTTGACAAAGAGTCAGAAGTCAAAACATGTGAATACATTTTTTTTCTCGTACAGCTGAAAGAATTAGCCGGTAACAGTAAATTCTTCAAAATGCCCTACTTCAATGTTAACGTGATGGAAGAGCGCGAGCTGTCCCAGCGCGGATCCTACCGGACAGAATTACGTCTGCATTTTCCCAACACCGGATATGTGAGCTCAATATCCGGTTTCAATCGCAAGTTTGCACCGCGGTTCCCTTGCCTTAAACCCCAGACATTTTTCAGTATTCTGCCCTTTAGCCTGTGTGAGTTGGATTGATCTCAGTTTAAGCTGCGTACTGTTCTTAGTGGTATGACGTACACATGCAGATGGTGTCATAAGACCCGTAACAGTGTAACCGCGGGGCTTTAGTCTCGTGTTCCTAGTAAGATATTAATCACGTAGTACTTCTTGAAGGATTATGGACGATGTCTGCAGTGTGTCTTTATTACAGTCCTGGACGAGCAGCTGATTGTCCGGATGTGCAGTATCCAGCTCGAACGATTGTTTGAAGAAAAAGTTGCCGGCAGCCCATTGGCGAAATTTTTTCGACCATCCCATCCTACATTTGACTTCAAGTTCGAAGAGGTGTGATTACTTATGATTACACCTCATTACTTATGATTCAGAAAACCTGTGCCATAGATTGACTAGCACAGGTCTCACTATCCCAGACCCTTATGGCAAACGAGCGAACAAAATAATTGTTATCATGCAGCACATCCTAAAAATCAAGTTTATTCGCATTACTCTAACATTTTAGGCATTGACCTTATAGTGCTGATAAAGCCCAGGTAATCGTTCTGATAAAGCCGGGGTACCTGTTTTGCGTCTAGTTCGACTGTGTGTGAATTTTAATAAAGTTATTATATTATGTATGTATTTTGATAAAATCATAATATAATCATAAATAAAATATTTATTTATGGACATTTTGATAAAATAATTACCTCATTAAGAAAACTTAAGAAAAAGATGCATAAGATCGGTCTCCTCATAGTTGAAGATCTCAATAACCAAAACATATTAAATTTTTTTAAACGGACAACGCCAGCATAGATAGATCGGCTTCGGTCCAGAACTAGATCATATCATTTTTGTTTTTAAATTTGTTCGTCCAGACGCGTGCCGTTACGATGCCGCAAACGATCAAACCAAATTTTGGAGTGACCTTGACACCAAGAAAACAATTGCTTGGATGCAAGTACGTAAGATAAATAACTAAAAGCAGTTATTTTCCCCAGAAATTTTATAAATCATGTTTGTTTTCGTGGCACTTCGCACGCAATCAGTCAGGAGTTAGCCTCCTGAATTTCGTAGTAGGAACTTTTGTACGTTGTTCCATGTTTTAACTAAGCTATACAGAGTAGTGTATCCTTTTCATTGCGAGTACTAAAGGTTTATTGGACTGTTTTGGCTCTTCAAACACCCGTTAGACCTACATATACAAACGTATGGCTGCCACTAGGGTTGTCATCACGTCGTCACACAGTTTCACAATCACGCCGTTTTCCTGCTCACAATCCCATCATGCTGAACAATTGCGGGCGTGTTAAAAAAATGTGATGAGTGACGGGACGGTGATGTGATGGGATGAATTTTTATTGTTAAAAATGAAAGCGCTAAAATCCGATCTGATTCCCTAAACTATAGCGCATCGGCTGTTTGTACATTTTTAACAACATTTCTGCATTTCTAAAGAATCCTGAGGTAGAGCAGTTTTGATTCGAGAAATGCGAAAAGTCACTTGATTCGCCTCTGGTTTGATTTGATTTAATTAAAAAATATTTGCAAAACTTGTAGCAGTTTAGTACCGTCACTGTGATTTGGCGGTATTTGATTTTGTAAATTATCTGACAAAATGGCCGGAGATTGGGATGCTGAACAGCTGAAGTGACCGTAGAGGAAGATGATGACAAGATTCAGTACGGTACTTGACAAAATCCGCCAACGGCTTTGCACTTCTTGCGAACTGCTGCAAAACTGCGAGAACCATAAGACTCCGCTGCTCGCGAGTTTTGGCTCTGAACTGATGTCACCTTGTTTGTAGTTTAACTAGTTGCGTCGGTTTTTCAAATTTTTTGAAAGGCATCTGTGTTGAAAAAAGTTAGCATAAAGTTTATGAATTTTTTGTTGTGAAAAATATGTCAGAAATTATTCAATAAATTAATAATCTATCCCACCAATCACATCACTTCCTGTTCACGTTCCCATCACATCCCACCTTCAAAACCTTGGTGGGATGACAACCCTAGCTGCCACAGGCTCCTCACAATTTTAAACTTCTGTTCACAGCTAATAAAAATAAATAGTTTTTCTGAGAATTTTTGTCAATATGCATTCTCGAATTTTCAACGCTCTAAGCAAGCTAAATTCTGGAATTAATTTTAAAATTATGAGAGATTGCTACAAAGCTAAAATTGGTTCACGTTCGACTTTATGGCCACATGTGTTTTGCAGCAAAGTTTCCAGAAGATCGGGTAATTGAAGTTAACGTTTTAATCGTTAACTTGTTTTAACGACGTGAGAGAAACGCCAGCACGGCTGATCTCTCATTCTGCGGCTCACGAACAATAGCTTTTGTTCGGAACAGCACCTACCGCCTTCCGTTGATGGCTTGGAATGTACCTGCGTTAGCCAGCCTGGCCAATTCTTGGAAAAGTTACCTGCCTGTTTCCTATCGCTCAGCGGAGGATGGCCTAGTTACGTGTACTGCATTCGCGAAGACGGCTTACTGGTTGTGTAGCACGATCTGTGTTAGCATTTTGTCTTTTGCACGCGGACTGGAATTTAGAAGCTGTTCAACGATTGTTCAGTGTATATTTGCCGTGTTAATTCATTTATTCAATTCAAGCTGTTCCAGTTGTTTTAATTCATAATTGATTGCGCTGCATATATTTCATACATCATTATGTCTGGAAGAGGAAGAGGAACCACAAGAAACTCCACCGCGCCTATGCGACCAGCAAAGCGGCCTGCACGCGGTCGCCCACGGGCCACTGCCAATCCTATCTCCGATAATCCACCTGCGTATAGTTTCCCAACGGTAACAGCGGAACCTGCAGGTGATCTCGACGCTCAGATTGCTGCTGCTCAACAGCATTTGCAGTCTTTGGTCGCTGGCAAGGACCGGGATGTAATTCATATTCCAGCCACATCGAATGCTGTTCCGCCGCCGTCGCAGCCTACGGAAATGGCCTTGATTCTCCAGTTGATGATGAACCAGCAAAATCAGCTGACCCACTTGACTCAGAAGGTAAATGATGCCCAGCCAGACCCATCTACAAGCACGGGGAGCGGTACCGGTAAGAAACCTCCACCATTGCCAGCTGGGTTTCCCTATGTCAGCGAGAAATGTCTGGAAGAGTTGTTTGACCTCACGATTAACATCGATTTGGACAAGCTGTTACGAACGAACAGCATCATGTCCCCAATTCAAGGCGAAGCGAAATTTGAGATCAGGGATGGCAATTTTGTTCTTTCGGACTCAAAGCCCAAAAAAGTCACGATTACATCTTTTACTCTGTTGAATGAAGCCTTCATTGTTTTTCGCCGTGTGCGAAGTTTTTATCATCCGGCACTGCAATATCCCCTTGATTCCTATCATACTATCATCACCGAATTGGCGGGAGTTTATTCACCGGTTGTATGGCTGGAGTACGACAAGACATTTCGTGCCAGCCGTATTCGCGACTCCAATCACGATGAGTGGAACAGGTTAGACAGAAACCTGCTGGACCGCTGTGTAGCACGTCGACCGCTTCGCGCGCATCTCCCGCTGTGCCGGGAATGAGCTTTGGCTGACCATACCGACCAAGACTGTCCGAAAAAGTTCCAGTCGACTGCGCAGAGCCGAGCGGATACCAATTCGGATCGGGCGTTCAAGCACATCCCAGCAGATTTATGCCGGAATTGGAACAATGGGCGATGTGCGAACGAATCCAATTGTCGATTCAAGCACGCATGTGGAATGTGCCGCTCATCTGACCACACCATCCGGGAGCACGAATCAGCGCAGCCCAGCGATGCCGGAAGCGGTCACGCTGGTCTCAGAAAATAAAGCAATGGCTACTATTTTCGGGTAATCATTTGATAGAGCGATCACTGTTTGACTAACTGAATTCCAGGTTCATCGTTACCAACAACCTACAAATGGTTTGGGGCCTTTCCGATGGCTCGCCATCATCTGCTACTCCCTACGAAGCCGGCCTCGCCATCATCCAACCCGCATCCGCTCGCAACGCCCGCGCGTACCACATTGTTTGGGGCACCTTCTCACTCGCGCAGCTCTCTCGCTATGGTACGCGCAGAACCGCACCGGAAGGCAGTCTCATCCCCCTGGCCACGAATCAGGTGGTGGTCCCAACTCCCTGGGTGGGAGTCACCTGGCCACGTATCAGGTGTCGCCAACCTCCCTGGCCACGAATCAGGGAGGACACCTGGCCACGCATCAGGTGTCCGCGATGGCATACACGCGCACACGCATACGCATACACTCCTTCCCGGTGGCCGTGCATGTTCTGACGATACCACGAGACTCCGCGGCCGAGCTGAGGCTGGCCATTTGCCCCAAACCATTTGTCGGCGTTTCTCGAACATAGTCGTTAATTGAAGTTAACGTTTTAATCGTTAACTTGTTTTAACGACGTGAGAGAAACGCCAGCACGGCTGATCTCTCATTCTGCGGCTCACGAACAATAGCTTTTGTTCGGAACAGCACCTACCGCCTTCCGTTGATGGCTTGGAATGTACCTGCGTTAGCCAGCCTGGCCAATTCTTGGAAAAGTTACCTGCCTGTTTCCTATCGCTCAGCGGAGGATGGCCTAGTTACGTGTACTGCATTCGCGAAGACGGCTTACTGGTTGTGTAGCACGATCTGTGTTAGCATTTTGTCTTTTGCACGCGGACTGGAATTTAGAAGCTGTTCAACGATTGTTCAGTGTATATTTGCCGTGTTAATTCATTTACCCGCCTTCCCGCCCTGTCGCTGGCTTCTAACGTTCTCCAAGTATTTTTTGTTTAAGTATCAAACTCTATCTGCAGCACTGTACGCAATTCTAATTAAAGGTCTGACCTCACTCGCGCAGCTCTCTCGCTATGGTACGCGCAGAACCGCACCGGAAGGCAGTCTCATCCCCCTGGCCACGAATCAGGTGGTGGTCCCAACTCCCTGGGTGGGAGTCACCTGGCCACATATCAGGTGTCGCCAACCTCCCTGGCCACGAATCAGGGAGGACACCTGGCCACGCATCAGGTGTCCGCGATGGCATACACGCGCACACGCATACGCATACACTCCTTCCCGGTGGCCGTGCATGTTCTGACGATACCACGAGACTCCGCGGCCGAGCTGAGGCTGGCCATTTGCCCCAAACCATTTGTCGGCGTTTCTCGAACATAGTCGTTAATAACCAGGCTTTTTGTACACTACAATGCATTTAAATTTTTCACTATTTTAGTACGCCATATCTCGGCAACCGGATGTTGCGCGCGCCAACGGTTTTCAGAACAATGTATAAGAATGATTTAGCTTTAAAGTTCCATAAAGTATTACAAAAAACTGATTCGGAGTGCGCGAAAGCGAAAGTTTTTGTGCATTTATCCCATTTTTGACACCATGTACCGACCAAAAAAGCAATAGTGCAATGATTGTAATCGATCACTACAAACGACTTTTCGTAGATTTTGCATTTGCAAGATGTCGTCATCGAACTTGAATCAATACCCACTGTTCTCGTGCAAAATCCTCAAACCAAACGGCGGGTCCTGTCATCCCATCGAGTATTGCTCAAAGGACAATTCAAAAAAATTGCCACCCAACGCGTTTTATTCATAAGCTCCACTCCTACGTAAGCGCACGATTGTAGCCGGCAGGAAGGTTGAGGGGTTGATGGCTGACGCTCAATGAAGGTCATCAACCTTTTTCTAAAGGTCATCAACCTACTTAAGGATTAAAGCATTATGAACACTAGCGCGTTTGGCATAGTAAGGAGACTCAGATGTGTAGTTTATTGGACCTCAAATACAAAGCTTCGGAAAATTGTTGTTACTGATAAAATGCACCAGCAGCCCGAACACGACAATGAAAACGAGGGTTTTGCCTTCGGTTTGAAACTTTACGCTCCGATGTGCCAGTGCGTATTCGTGCATCTTTCCAGTAATTGTAGCTGAGCTTTTAACAAAAGAAACAGCCCCTGCAGCGTGAGGTCGGCTACTCTGAGTGCACATTAGTATAACGCAAAATGATTTCATATATGTAGCCGCAATGAGGTCAAAAGCACACCATGGTGCCATTTTTAAATTAATGGATACCAAGAAAGAAATATTAAGAAAGAAAGTGCTAATATTATAGGAAGTGGCCCGGTACATGGTGCCAAATTCGTGTACATGCACGAAAACTTTCACTTTCGCGCACTCCCAAACACATTTTTCTTTCGGTTTATGACATTCTGCAGCCAGAAGATTTGTATACACTGGCGTGAAAACCGTTTGTGCGCGCAACATCCGGTTCGGGAGTTATGGTTGTCAGAAAATTCCAAAAAGTTTAAATGCATTCAGGTGTACCAAAAGTCTCGTTATGGACTGATCTCCATCAAATTTTGCAGGTAAATGCGCAAGTCCATGCAGATCGTTTTTACACCGATCCAGACTTCCATGATTTTTTTCAAATTTTAAAATGAATTTTAAAATTTTTGAAATTCATTTTAAAATTTGAAAAACATGCGAGAGCAGTGGATCGGTGTAAAAACGGTCTTCGTGGTTATGTGCATTTAGGTGCAAAATTTGAGGAAGATCGGTCCATAACGAGACTTTTGGTACACCTGAATGCGTTTAAACTTTTTGGAATTTTCTAACAGCCGTAACTCCCGAACCGGATGTTGCGCGCACAAACGGTTTTCACCCCAGTGTATACAAATCTTGTGGCTACAGAATGTCATAAACCGAAAGAAAAATGTGTTTGGGAGTGCGCGAAAGTGAAAGTTTTCGTGCACGTACACGAATTTGGCACCATGTACCGGGCCACTTCCCTTAAGAAAGGTTAGACAGAAAAACAGTGAGCAGAAAGATAAATATGTTGAGCAGCTATGAGGATAACCTTCTGCAGAAAGGTTGATGACCTTTAGAAAAAGGTTGATCAGAAAGGCTAATGACCATCACTGAGCGTCAACCATCAACCCGTCAACCTTCCTGCCGGCTACACACGCTCCGGCTGCAGCCAAATACTCGTACTGTATATTCACCAAACCCTTACCGTATCTCACAGCGAACTTTTTTTGCAGACTGAATGACCTGTCAGATTTACAGTGCACAGGTTTTTATCTGAGTGATCTACCCTTGCACAGCGGATCCGCGGATTTAGCCGCCTGTGGATGGCATTCTCAGCAACTCAACTTCCGACATTTTCAGAAGGAAGAAGAAAAAAGCAGGCAGCTGGAAGTCTCATTCCGTAAGCTGAATGAATGGCAGCGTCGTGGCGATTCACTGCTGATGTCCATGATCCCGAAGTAATGCATTACGTGAAGTGCTGTATGAGCAGACCACAGCATTCTGATATCGGAAGTGATTTTGTCTAGGCACATCATAGAAAGAATGAAGCAAACGGGAGAGCGCAACTTTAGTGAGGTGGGAATGCATCGCACCGCTTGTTCAAATGCCGGTTGCACTTTGCCCGACTATTTTTTGTAGCCTTATGACCCAGTAACGATTATGTTGGTTCGATTATTTGACTTCCACGTAGTATGGTAAGTGCTTCAGCTCCAGTAAGGCTGGAATTTCAAGAAAGCGCTTCCGTATGGCTATTAACGACAAACATCCTAATTCTCGCATACACCCAACTGACCCAAGCGTCGATTTTCGTAAACCTTTTTATCTCAGAATGTGTTTAACCATTCTAAATTTCTAACTCTGCTGTTTGCCATTCCGTTTGAGAGCCCAAAACATTCGGTGGATTACTGCATGCTCGTACACATAACTGAAGAACATCTGTGATGCATCGGCAGAGTTCTGTCAACAGGGCTCTTGATTCTTGTTGCCTTTCAGCTCTCAAATTCCACCAACAGAAGTCGTCAAGATTGTGAGTGAATGCTGGAGTGCACTGGACACGCTAACCGGTACCGTTTAAGTTCAAACTGACATCATTTCCTATTTGAGAGAATCAAGAGATTATTTTTCCGTTGAGTAGTGTATTGAAAGGCTGAAACCCATAATCATTCTTTATATAGAGAGTTATGACGTGTTTAAAGTGGAAAACCGTGGCGAAGAATACATGGTAAGTCAGTTGCTGTGTTGTAATCCCAGCAGCTAAACTAATCAAGCGGGTTATACGTTTTTGGTCTCAATGTGAGTTGAATGTCACAGTCCGGTTGTCCCGTAGGTTGCCAGTGGCATTTCAACCAAAAACGGCAACCAACACGCTAGTGAAACCGCCACCCTGGCATTGCGAATTGTGCAGACGGTCATGGACATGGACTTTGCTCCGCTGCCCGATCGCAAACTGAAGATCGGAATCGGGATCAATACCGGTAAATGATCCTCTTGAAAAGGAGAGAAATGTCACGCCCAAACCGTATAGTACGTACGCTATAGGCTTTCTTCTACGAGAAAAAGCGGACGTTGGCGTGACCTAGCCGGAACAGCAGACGCCGCACCGTCGTTTTACAGCGCAGCCGTTTTACAGCTTGTTCAGAATGCTGTACAGCATTGCAGAGTGACCAAATTCGCAAGCATTTTTGGAAAACGATTTTTTGCGGCGACATGTCAGAAAATTGCATATTTGGCTGAATTTTTTAAACGTTGCCTCGGCTTTCAATGTCCGAATAATTACTGGTGTTTTATGACTTTATACCGTAAAAGCAAGAGGAGAGGGTTGGCTAGATAGCCAGTCTACTCGACGATTTCACTCAGACAAAATTAAGGCCGGGCCGAACGCAGAAAATTCAGTTTGTAAAGGAATTAAACGGTGCCAAGAGGCACCCATAGTAAAAAAGATGCATTGGCAGTCGCCGTCACAAAGATATGCGGCTGCAGAAAAAAATGCAAAGAGCGGGCTAAAAAACCGACGTGTTTTACGCCAGCAGTCTCGATGTTTTAATGCACTATGACATTACACAACCATTACCAGAGCTGCTTTTAGGGCCGGTTGTGGGCGGCGTTGTTGGACTACATACGCCACGATTCTGCATATTTGGTGACACCGGTGAGACGACGAAAATGTTATGAGACCGAAAAATACAATACTCGTCTGTCTAATAGTTAATGTTTAATGTGATGTTGCAATATAATCTTGATTCATGCAAAGATATACACTGAGTTTGCAGCATGTGTGACAGTTCGTAGAGATCAGCGTGTATCGTTCTTTCTTGCCTATTGCAGTGAATACAGCATCGAGAATGGAATCTTCCGGCATTCGTAAGGCATCTATAATAATAAAACCGGTTTATTTTTATCCGTGTACAACGGCCTATGTTGTGCATAATACAACGTTGCCGAATCTTTTTAGCTTTCGGCATTCAGTGCAGTAAGAAAACCAGAAATATCTTGGTGGCAACAGAAGACTTTGAACTGAAGAAGCGTGGAACGATGCAAATCAAAGTACATCCTTTCCTGTGCTCTTCGTTAAATATTACGTGCTCGTAAAGGTAGAGTAACCGGACAGTATCTTGAAAGAACAGTGATTATGGGTGGGTAAGGGATCACCTGGAGTGCTTTTGTCGCCGTACCTCAAAATTTAACATGTTATTTATTAGTCATTTGAATATTGTTAGAAACTAGTGACGATACCATTTGCCGCGAATGCTATGAGCTGTGCATTCGCTTAAAGAAGCACCGCTTTTCCCCTCCTTTTAGAACCTGTGCGATTTTATATATGCGGTTCGATTTATATATAACGCGGAAAATTCCAACCCGGGCAACGTTCGCATTTGAAGTTTGCTGGTTTTCCTGCACAAGTCAGGACACTTAATCAAACCACTGCCATTACTCTAGGAGTACGAGAGGCATGTTTATTCATTCCTCTCGTACTCCTACAACACGGCAGTGATCAGAAGCGTCGGGAAGTCCGGATCACTGGGTCAAATATCGCCGTTTTAGGGGTTCTACTGTTCTAGGTGGTATGCTTTAAAGTTGTCGTTAGATATTTCCATATGGCGGTTGCAATGAAAGAGTCGAGGTTTGAGTTCGTTGGGTAACAAAAGTCGCCGCGAGAACTTTTATTGTTTTTAAAAATTCGGGGAACATCATAAGTATGTATTTAAAGCGAAAATTCTTAATGTTTCCAGGTATTCGAAAATATTTTCGAAGTTAAAGCGCATCTGGAGATATTTGTGAACAGTAATTTCGATAGCTGCTGCATTCGGCTTGGGTTTGCAGCGAAGATAGACCGCGCCTGCTTGTTCGGCTTTCATGAAACGGTTTTCATGCTTAATGCAACCGAATGTATTAGGAAGAAGATCAATATTACGCGCGGCCTCCCCACAGTCTGGAGATCTCTCTAACCAAGAACTTTTTAAAAAATCTGATACCACAGTTAGACCGGCCGTGGTCCAGAACTGCGTCACATGACTTTTGTTTTTGAACACGCTCGATCAGAATCGTGCCGGCACGATGCCGCAAACGATCCAACCCAGTTTCAAGGTGACCTTGGAACTTAGAAAAATTTTGCCTAGATACAATATGCAACAAAAATTATTAAATACGCAAATTAAACGGAATAAATTAAACTTATTTTCGAACAACACCAACCACAAAATTAAGTACGTAACCACAAGTTAATTTTTCGATTTTTGTTGTCGGCAAATTTGTACTCGTAATATAATGGTAGGTATTGACCATACGGACATCGGGCTGTTCGATTTTGGCAGGACCATCCTTCTAAGCAATTGCTAAAATTGCAAAGAGCCGCATTTGTATTTGTGAGTGAGCGAGCTACCACTGTCCAGTGAGCAGAATGGACAGTGAGAGGTTCTGCTCGGGAGTAAGTTACCCAGCCATCACTACTGTCCAGTGAGCAGGATCGCTAACTGAGTGAGTAAGTTACGAGCTACCACTATCCAATGAGCAGAAGCGCTAACTGAGTGAGTAAGTTACCGAGCTACCACTACTGTCCAGTGAGCAGAATCGCTAACTGAGTGAGTAAGTTACCGAGCTACCACTACTGTCCAGTGAGTAGAATCGCTAAGTGAGTGGATCACAAGAAACGCGGAGGCGAAGCCGCAGCTGTTTCTTGTATTTCTTATTACCCAGGCAGCAGACAACCGGAAACACAGTAGCTTTGCTATAAAATCGCGCCATCTGTAATTACTGCGTTATTAAGGGATAAGGATACATGAGAGTTCCCGTCCACGGGCTTGGCTCTTCAAAAAATATGTATAAATCAAATAAAACCAGATTAAATTGTGACTTACAGAATTACGCAAATACGAATAACACTAATCAAATAATTTGAATCCTGTCATCCCTCTATTTGACCGCGGCCCATTCGCTATGAATTCAAATTGGATAGCATGGTCGTCGGTTGTTTTTGATTCTCGACGCATTACATAGATCAGCGAAATACCCATCTGAAACACCGTTGCATTACACAGATATAGGTCAGAAATCAGTGCATTCAGTTACTTTTGTCAAAGAAGCGCTGCCTCGTAATTGCCTAAATCATAGTACACCTCTAGCACCGAAAGTAATTTTTTGTGTCAACGTTTAAGAAAAAGATTTTCAAGAATCTCGCAACCTTATCTATCGCCTGAATCCTTCTGCCGACTAATAATAGAGTCATCAGTTGGGAAGCCGCCTCTTTCGCAAAACGTCATTTCAAAATTGGGGGTCTTTCGGCAGTGGCCAAAAGCTATGCCATGAGATCAACTAAGCAATACAAAGTTAACTGGAATCACCGCGACAAATGTTTCTTTTGAGCATTTGTTGTTCTAAAGTACGGAGGAAAGGGGTAAATTTTCTAGACTTTCCGCCCCAGATAAACAGAAAAAAATCTAACATGGGGCTGAAAGCGACATGTCCCACTACCCCCCAATGGACCCATCCTGGAAGTTGGCTGGAACATATTGTCCCATTACGCTGCCTTCACGAAAATAAGAAGAAATGAACTAATAACTGAGTTTCACAAATCTGGTCTCTCATTGCAGGGAAAGGGTGAAATGATGGTATACTGGCTGGTACGCAAGCGCGGAACGGATTTTTTTATTGATATTGCAGAGCATTCGCAGCTTCCGGATACTACCAATATTGCTTATCTGAGCGACCCCGGTCTGCCATCACAGGTGGACGTAGTAAATGGGAGTAAAGAGGCGTGTAAAGCATGACCAAATTAATACAGCAATCAATGGCAACTTTGTGGGTCGTTATAAGTTGGTTTTATATTATCATCTGAATATTTGTATGTTAATGGATGTCTTTACAGAGTGTGTGAGTCATTCGCTTTAATATTCATTTTGTCATGTAAATATTGTTTTATCATTACGGATTACAATAAAAAATTAACCATAATTAATCTCAGTGCGGCTCGAAGATTTCACAAAGTCAACGATGGAAATTGTAGTTTCTGGTCAGATGTAGCGGTGAAGTTAAGAAAATACCTAGATAGTTTCAAACAAATAACAAACGTGCAAAGAAAAAGACATAGAAATTATTTCATCTTGGGTGCAAAGTAGAAAAACATCCAAAATCCAATAAACTAATCACTTTGTAACATATTCTACAAGAAATAATGTCGGCTTTGCCTCCGCATTTCTTGGGGTCCCCAGCCGACCTATATTTATTAATATTTTAGATTTTGGCATAGCATAACTTATGAACTCCCCTAGTGCGAAAAATTTAACTTAAATTACTTTTTTTTCAACAGTGCAATTTTCAAAAAAAGAATCGGTTTTGGATTTTCTGGTGCTCATATGCACACCTACTGGCTTTGCAGGTGGACATAGCTAAATTTGGGAAGCGAAAACTTACGTACCCAAATGAAAGGAACAGTTACTGTTTAAGTATCAACTGGATAGCCATGGTAGACCAGTCGCTTGCTAACCTGGCGGACTGTGTACTCTGGTAGTTTGGTCACTCATTCACCTAAAGGGCAGTGTGTACTACAGATAGCAGTGGTAGGTTGGTCACACGCTCATAATAAACAGCAGTGAAAACGTTGCAGACGAAAACAAAGGCTTCTTTGTCAACTCATTATATTTGTTGACTCATTATATTTGTCAACAAACATTTTTTCCAGCGACAATAACTATCGTCCTCAGAAAAGTAAGAAATAGTACTAATTCAAAGGCTTTTATCTTGTATACTGGACCGTGAATGGCGATTACTAGTCCCCGATTACTACCACAATCCAGTTTTAGTCCATTAACATACCCTTAGAATACCAGTTTGCAGAATATAGTGGCAGACACTGAATTCATGATAAAACCTTGTATAGTGCCTGCCAAGCAGTTCACGTCCTAAGTTTTGCCTTAAACTTAATGTAAGCAGTGGGGCTGTATGTGCCTTATACTTCTTAAACAACCGCTGCACACTAATTTTAAATCTGAATGGATGTACTGTATTTGCAGACACAGAGCCGAAACATTCTCTCTCTTTGCAAGGCGCTTTATAAGCCTTCATTTTTCCACTGAGTAAAAAATTTACAAATGAGCTATAAATTATAAACCAGCACGAAAAAATGTACTAAACCCGCCAAATTCAGATTCACAGACCACATTCAACTAAAAAAAGACGTAAACCAATGCGCACAATATGCAGGACTAAAACAAGGTCAGACTCTGGCACGCGAAATCAAGGCGCTCCGGACCGTGGTCGTGTGACACTGCTGGTCTAGGGGATAGGACCATACTCCTCCTCACGTACCGGTACCCGCTCACGGGAGGCGCTGCGGCTGCATGACTGGCGCACACTACGAGACATATCAATCCCCTCCCAGGCGTCCTCGTACGACGGCGGAAGGACCGAGATCACCCCACTTCCACCGCTAGTAGCACAGTGTGGCCGATTCGGGCTGTGGGTGGTAGTGCAGTGCAGCGGCACCGGGGGCTGGACCATCACAGACTGTGAGTACGAACGGACCGTGCTTTCCGTCTCCCCGAGTTGCGAGCCTACAGTCGAGCTGGACTAATTGATGAAGCTGTGGATGCGGCGCGGCGAAGAGCTGCTAGAGCGGATGCCGTTCTTCGAATAGCGGATGCCCCCGGTCAAGTTGGCGGCGATAATGCTGACAACAAGCTGGACTACGCCCACGGCAATGAGGACCCCGGTGAGGGGCTGGTACAAGTAGATATCGGCGTGGAGCAGGATGAGCTGCGGGGTGTAAAAAAATGGACGCTGACCAAGCCACAGGAGATGGATCATGCTGAGGACAAAGAGGGCGCCAGCGATTAGTGCGCTGAGAACGTTGAGGACGACGTAAACGTGGGGTTGGGCGGTGCGCCATTGGTTGTGCTTACTGTCTGGAGTAGGATCGCGGAGAAGGGAGAAGTGGGATTTGCGCAGTCGGAGTCCGGCGACACCGGTGGCCAGAAAGAGGAGACCCGCCCAGATACCGACGGATAAGAGGAAGTGGCGAATTTCCGGTTGAAGGTGCATCAAGATGATGCCGGTAACTAAATATAAGATAACAAAACCGACATAAGCTGATTGTCTGTTTACCCTGGTAGAAATGGCCGTGGGGATAATCTGTTTGAAATTGCTGCGCGTTCGCTCTTGAACCAGACAAGGCCTTTGCCCTTGTAAACAAAAATAGAAAATGAGAGAATGTCCAAGTTATGACATTAGTGGTTCACTGGTTCTGAACCAATAGAACCATTGTAGAACCACCGGTGAACCAAGTACACAGTCACGTGCAGACACACTGTCACACTACCACTCTACCCCGTGAACCAGGTGAACCTATAGAACCACATACAATCACCATTGCACCACCGGTGAACCAAGTACACAGTCACATGCAGACACACAGTCACACTACCACTCTACCCCGTGAACCAGGTGAACCTATAGAACCACATAGAACCACCATTGCACCACCGGTGAACCAAGTACACAGTCACTTGCAGACACACTGTCACACTACCACTCTACCCCGTGAACCAGGTGAACCTATAGAACCACATAGAACCACCATTGAACCACCGGTGAACCAAGTACACAGTCACATGCAGACACACTGTCACACTACCACTCTACCCCGTGAACCAGGTGAACCTATAGAACCACATAGAACCACCATTGAACCACCGATGAACCAAGTACACAGTCACATGCAGACACACTGTCACACTACCACTCTACCCCGTGAACCAGGTGAACCTATAGAACCACATAGAACCATTACCGAACCACCAGTGAACCATGGCCAGGTACACAGTCACTTTCATTGATGGAAAACCAATAGTTTCATTGATAACTACGCCGTAGTTTCATTGATAAGAACCAGTATAAAACGAAATCGGTTAACCGCGGCTAACTTCGAAATTTTAAGCCTTAAAATCGACTCGGTTAAAGCTTTTAGACAGCTAAACGTTTCTGACTAATGTGTTTGGCCACTAAAATTTCCTAAATTAATTGGTTTAGTTTACCCAGGTTAACCGCAGTTAACCGAATAATTCTAAGTCGGCTAATTTTAGTTTTTCCATCACTAATGCTAATTACTTTTAATAAGCATCATGTACAAGTACATACTGAGTACTAAAACAAAATTCATAACAAAAACACTTCTTCAATGCTATCCTGCTCGGGAATCGTACCCATAACACATAACGCATTTCCCCGTTGCACTTGGATAGATAGCCGCTGTCTAAAATACTCTTTCGCCCGCTTCTGGCCTGTGGCGGAAGCTATGCCGTTGCCTACCTGCTCCACGAGCTTTTTCGTTCCGCCTCCCAAGGGTCCGTAAATTTCAAAGGCGGCAGCTACTAGATTGTTTCTTGGTTGTAGCGAGCCGTGCTTCGACAGTTTTCTTCTCTCCGCCTGCTCCGCTGCTGCACCAACGCACACGGAAGTGCGGTCGATATACGACGTGGCGAGTGAGTCCACGCAGGATACATCAACAGCCAGTGGTTTTCCCCGCTCCCACGGGACGAGGGTAATCACATCTGGCCGTTTTTTTGTCTTTCGCTGACAGACCTTTTGGCTCCATTCTGGCTGGAAAACCTGCTGTCTTCAAGGCACATCACTAATTATGCGTTGCCGTACTTTAAGTTCAAATTTTATACACCATGATTGGGTGTACCAGTCGTAAAATTAATCAGTACCGAATTTTTGACGGATGCCCACAAAAGCAAAGCCGTCTGATTACGGCAAAATGTTTTCTGTCGATTCTAAAACGGGCAGCTTTGGATCGGTGATGTGCTCGCCTAATTTTGTTGACACTTGCACAGGTTACGCCTACGGTGTCAGTTTGTAGCATACGCCCAAGGTCGGTTGAATACGCCCATTTCGAAAACGCTTTTGGGTTAAGAATACAGTAATTTCCTTCAGACTGTGACGTATGCCGGAAACGCGTCGTACCTATTTGCTTTAAGTTTTGTGCAAGTTTTTACAGACTTCCGATGCGTGACGCAACTGGAAGTACCCGGTATTTCGCAGTGATTTAGCTGACGTTTAGGAGGTTTACAAGATTTCCCTTTATTTTGGCTTTATTTTGATCTCCCTTTATTTTGATTATCGTCTTGGCACGCTTATAAAAGTTGCTTTTTGTAGAACATAGCCCGAACAATGTGAATGATTTTTTACGTATGGCTGGTTCAAGTACAGTTTGTATGGACAGTCATACTGTGACGTGGTTTGCAACGGGAGGAAGTGGCCATAAAAGTATCAGCCAATTAGTAATGTGCTAGATGTACTTTGAGTCTTTGATCTCTCACAAAACAGTCCGTAAAATATTGACTTCTGGTTTGTCTATGACTATGAGTACTTTTGAGCTGGAGGCGTGTTCTCTCATCTTTCATATTTTTAACGAGAAATCACGGTCGAGGGCTTGAGGAAGAAGACTTCTTCTAAATGAATTAGTATCATGTTGCATGGCTAGCAGCTCTGGAATATCTTGTCTGGAAAGTGTTCTCTGGAATAACATCTTAGCCTTGATGTCGTTGCACTGTTAGTTTGAAAGAGTTTATATAAAGGTTATCGTGATTAAGGTTGATTGGGTTTAGCGTCACCTTTGTTGCTATACAGCCATAAGGTCATACCACCACAAACATCAACAACACCTATTAGTTGACAGATCACACACTTTGTTAGTTTTAAATGTGTTTTGTGCATTTTAAACTAATAAAAGTGCAAAATTAAAAAAAAAGTGATAGATCCACCAAACAAT